GGTGGCCTCCAGGTATCAGCGAACCAATATATAGCACCTGAATATAGTTCTGCAAATGGAATGACTTTGATTTTTGCACTTGCTGCTAGCGCTCGTGAGTATTGTTTTGGTAAAGCTCAGAGAGAATGGGTGTATACGGATGTTATACATTAGACAAAGAGCAATGGGAAGTAACGATTACGAGGCTTCTCGAACTATCACGAAGAGTCGTACCTATACATCAAATATGGTCACTGGACTGTCAGAGTCACGGTCATTCGGCGATCTTGAATGAGAGATTTTTCAGTGGCGAGCGCGATATCAGTAAGTCTCTGGGCTCTATTTCATTTTTCCCTACTGATAGCTATTCTAGCGATTCGGGACTATGGGCTTATGCTAGGCTGGTTCACAAAGCTAGAGCAATTCTGTGACCACGTCGTTGTTGCAATTGGCCATTCTGCAAGTACTTCCGCATGGTACTTTTGCTTTTTGCTGTGTGATTAGAACAACATAACTCACGTTGTGAGTACTGAAGGTGCTTGGGAATTGAATCGCTCTCCGACCCAACCCCGGTGATAGCGTTACTGCTCATCGAGCCTGTGATGGTTACACCTCCTGTGGAGAAGGACGACCCGAGGATCAACAGTGGATACAAAAATGTTAAAGGTATTCTCAATCGAGTAGACGAATGGGAGGATACAGCAGTTTTGCAAATTTGGCTCAGGAAGAACTATCCTTACAAAATCTGGGATCCTCGTATCCTAGATATATACATCGTATGTTATATTTTTTGTTTCTCTTCAACTGAACATGCTGGAACTTGGTCATACAGAAACATGGTTTCACCCTCATTTCCTCCTCCGGTAAATCTGTGACCACAAAGATCTCGAGAGTGCAAGAAAGTCATTTTTACAAACACGAGGATCACGTCGACGCTGGAATGATTGTGCACAAGGTGTGCAAGCGAGTTCAAGTCCACTGCATCTTTGGTGAACGGCCCGAAATGGTGTATGTACTTAATCCTTGCCGGGTCATATCTTTGCGTTGGTAACTTTGACTGTGTTGTTCTCATGTAGGTCGCTGAAATCCCGGGACTCAATCTGCAATGAGTCGCAGGGCAGAAAGATGGCTTCTATATCCATTGTAGCTAAAGCTGGACACTTGGTGAAACATATATTCATGGTCTGTTCGATCGTAATGCTGATTGTTCTGAATAGGCCGTGCAAGAACAACCTGAGGGTGTCGCGAATGCTATCCTGAATTGCCTTCTAGCCATAAATATGAACTCTGTTAGATCAGCATTGTAGTTCAATTGACGCATAGAAACACGAGATTTATACCCCTATGCCCTCAAGTTGTGTAGTCGCGTCCGGATCTATCACCTGGCCTGCTCTTAAGGTCCATTCAGTCAACCCACGGATGCCCACCGGGAAGTAGATGCTCTGATGGCTGAAGCCTGGTCCTCTTAAGCCCTGTTCCTAGTCTTGAAAGGCGTGACCGAGTGTAATGAGCTTACTCATTTCAAAGATGTATCATCCAAACGAATTGTTCTAGTTGTGCGGTCATGGAAATGCAACCTTCAATCGTGTACTTGAATAACTTGATAAACGAACGTGGATAAAAGTTCTAACCGAATACAAGATTCACGAGCAACCAATGTTCGGTGCTCCCAGATTGAAGGGTAAAGCGGTAAAACTGCAACGCGGTAAGCCGGGGACCGAGAAAAAAGCGCCTACATGATAAGCGCTCAAAGCTGTCCGGCACCGCGCGGGCTGGGCGTGACTTCTTTCCTGCTTTGTTTTTGACCCTCATATCGACCATGGCTTCATCCTCATCATCGTCTGGCGCGTTCGCCAAAGCCCCCGCTCGTACCGCCGACCTTGAAGAGACATGGGCCTTTTTAAGCAACGGTGTTGACCATATAATGACCAGGCTCGATACTGGCCTGGATTTCCCTAGTTACACAAATCTGTACACGACAGTATACAATTACTGTACCTCGACGAAAATGCATGGTAAACCGGATAGTACTAGAAGTAGGTGATGCTGCTTGCTTTGTGTCCAAGATCTGACGGTTCATCGTTGTAGCTGGGGCGAATCTTGTGGGCGCGGATTTATACGTGAAATTGCAAGAATATTTTGTAGAGCACTTTAAACCGATGAAGGAGGTAAGAACTGTCATCATTACATTCATTGGATACTCAGATCTTGGTAGAAAACTGCTGGTTTACAAGACGAAGACTTGCTTCGATATTACGCCACCGAGTGGGATCGATATACCACCGGTGCCAACTTTTTGAATCGTCTATTCACGTACTTGAATCGATACTGGGTGAAGCGAGAGAGAGACGAGGGCAAGAAAAACGTCTACCAAGTCTATACGGTAAGTCCTCGTGCCCTCTTACTCAGCCAATATGGCTTCTTATCTTCCATCTTAGCTGGCCCTCGCTCAATGGAGACAGCACTTTTTCCTCCCTATACAAAAAGAAGATTCAAAACTTGCAGGCGCTTTACTTCGCCTGATCGAGCGACAGCGAAACGGGGAGGTAATCGACCAGGGTCTGGTGAAGAAAGTTATCTTTTCTTTCGTTTCTCTCGGCCTCGATAACAACGACCCAAACAAGGAGTGTCTGGATATATACAAAGAATACTTTGAAACGCCTTTTATCGAAGCCACCGAGGAATACTACAAGAAAGAGTCCAAAGCTTTCCTTGCCTCCAACACCGTCTCTGAATACCTCAAAAAGGCCGAAGACCGTTTGCGAGAGGAGGAAGACCGTATCGAGCGGTACCTCCATACCAAAACACGCAAGGAGCTGATTTCAAAGTGTGAACACGTCCTCATTCGCGAGCATTCAGAGCTGATGTGGGAGAGCTTCCAAAAACTGCTCGACTTTGACCAGGACGAAGATCTGCAGCGGATGTACGCTTTGCTATCGCGTATTCCGGATGGGCTGGACCCTCTTCGGAAGAGATTCGAGGCTCACGTTAAGCAGGCCGGTCTGTCGTCCATTTCGAAACTGGTGGGAGAAGGAGGCAACGCGGAGAGCATCGACCCCAAGGTGTACGTCGATGCGCTTTTGGAGGTGCACAAGAAGAATTCGGAGACGGTGGCAAGGAGCTTCAAGAGCGAGGCTGGGTTTGCGGCGAGTTTGGATAAGGCGTGCAGGGAGTTTGTCAATCGTAATGCTGCGACTGGGTCTTCGTCGACCAAGTCGCCTGAGCTGATCGCCAAGCATGCGGATATGTTGTTGAGGAAGAACAACAAGATGGCTGAGGAGGAAGATTTAGAGGGTGCGCTGAACCGAGTGGTACGTCGTTCTTTTTGTGGTGGACATTGCTTTTGCTCATGTCGTGTGACAGATGGTCTTGTTCAAGTATCTAGAGGATAAGGACGTTTTCCAGACCTTCTACACTACTAAGCTTTCCAAGCGTCTCATTCACGGCGTCTCCGCTTCTGACGAGAGCGAAGCCAGCATGATCTCGAAACTCAAGGAGGCCTGTGGTTTCGAGTACACCAACAAGCTCCAGCGAATGTTCACCGGTTTGTCATATTATTCATACTCGGTTGTCCATGACTGACGTCTTCCTAGACATGAGCCTGAGCAAAGATCTCACCGACAACTTCAAAGAACGCATGTCCCAAAACCATGACGACATGGACATCACCTTCAGCGTCATGGTCCTCGGCACCAACTTTTGGCCTCTCAACCCTCCCACACACGAATTTGTCATCCCCGCCGAAATCCTTACGACCTACGACCGTTTCCAAAAGTACTACCAAACCAAACACTCCGGCCGCAAACTCACCTGGCTATGGAACTACTCGAAGAACGAGCTCCGGACCAACTACCTCAACCAGAAATACATCCTGATGACGAGTTCGTATCAGATGGCGGTGTTGGTGCTGTATAATAAGAACGATACGATGTCGTTGGATGAGATTTTCGCAGCGACGTCGATTAGTAAGGATATTTTGACGCAGGTGTTGGCGTTGCTTGTGAAGGCGAAGATTTTGGTTAATGAGGAGTCGGAGCAGTATGATCTTAACCCGAGTAAGTTGTGTGGTGTGTTTCGGTTTTGGTTTACGGGAATGATTGAACTGGGATGTGTCCTTAGGTTTCAAGTCGAAGAAGATTCGAGTCAATCTCAACTTGCCCATCAAGGCCGAGGTCAAGCAGGAGTCGAATGAGGTTCTTAAGGCTGTCGATGAGGACCGAAAGTATGCTATTCAGGCTACGATTGTCCGGTGAGTTGAATACCTTTTGTGTTCTATGTTGTTTGTCTTCCTGCAATGGATGTCGTCTGATGATGGGGGTTTTTGTAGTATCATGAAAGCCCGAAAGACGATGAAGAACCAGGCGTTGATTCAAGAGGTCATTTCGCAAATTTCGCATCGATTCGCGCCCAAGATTCCTGATATTAAAAAGGTTTGTGTTTGTCGCTCTGAGTGTGTAGTGACGCTGGCTGACGACGGTGGTTTCATAGGCTATAGAGACGCTGCTTGAGAAGGAGTATATTGAGCGGGTGGAGGGGTCGAAGGATACCTTTGCTTACGTTGCATGATGCTCTTCTTTCTTTTGGCGCGCGCCTGTGGCCTTCCCTTCCCTCCCTCCCACCATTCATTCCTTCGTCGTCCCTTTCTCGACCGTGAACGTCGTCGGTATATACTTCCTGCTGTTTCCTTTACACTGCATTTTGTCCCTTTGCCCCCTTCACTCCCTTGCTCATATTGCCCCAAACCTCGCTTGTACTTTTTTGAGTATGCGTATGCTAAACATATGTGTATAGTTAATCGTATCAAATATTAGACGCAATTATACTTGTATGGACGTTCCGTATGACAACGTCAGCTTGAAAGCCGAGAAATCGTATGAGAAGAACTTGAAGGACCAATCGATAATCGGATCATGTATTGAAAAATTCTGCCTTGTAAGGTGCTAAAGCCCCAGCGGCAGTAGGGATGTACATAGTGTGCATGACATATGTATATGTGCAACGTTTTTCAAACGACGAACGACGGTAGCGTGGCCGAGTTGGTCTAAGGCGTTGGATTTAAGTCCATCACTGTATTCTCAGTGCACTTGCTTCCCAATGAAGGTGACTTCGCGCGAGTTCGAATCTCGCCGCTACCATGTGTTTTTTACCTTCTCTTCAATTTTTTATTTCTTTTTCTGACTCGAAAATTGCCATGTTGAGTACCGAGGACTGAGTAAGCGGTGTCATGAGCGGGGAAATGGGTCGGCAGGATCGGCGCGATGAGCCGGATGCCGGGTGTGCCGAGCTCCGAGCTCCGAATGGGAAATGTGTGATCCCGACGGAGATCCCGGACCGTATCGCTTCTGAGCTGATTACTGACATCACTGCGCTCAGCGCGCACTCCTCTGTCTCTTGTCAAAGCCCCATGGCCTCCACAACCGCAACCACAAAGAAAACGGACTCTGGTAAGAAGTATAGGAATGAGTGTACAGGTGAAGCTTTAGAGACTGTCAAGAAACATGAGAAGGACGAGGATTTGACGCTTTTCGGGAGCTGCTTTTGTCCGTTTGTGCAGCGTGTGTGGGTTGCGTTTGAGGTTTTGGAGGTTCCGTATAAAGTGCGTACTAGTATCTACGTGTGATATTCATGGTACGATATTGACATTATTCTGTAGTACTGTGAGGATCATTCCAGACCGGATAATAGCGTAGTAGTCCCTACTTATCTTACCGATTACAGATGAAGTAGATCCGTACAAGAAACCCAAGGACCTACTCGAAGTTTCGCCTAAAGGTCTTGTCCCAGGACTCAAGTTGAACAATTTCAATCCGCCAAAGGCTCTCAACGAGAGTACGGTGATTTTGGAGTATATTAACGAGTATGTTGGATTTTTGCTTTCACTCACGAACGCGGGGTAAAACTGAACTGGATGTTCGCGTTCTTGTACTATTCTTATATTATAGTTTGGCGGAAACTACGAAGGGAAAAAGTTTGCTTCCTCCTGCGACGAATCCATGTACGTGTGTTTTACTCAGGTTCTCTGAAGATCGAGACGTTAAGTATGTCCTTACCTCGTCGTTGCGATTACAGACGCTCGAGCCCTCGTCCGACTCCAATGCGACCATATCAACCGCTCGATTGTTCCTGCCTTCTACCGGTACCTCCAAGCGCAAGATCAAGAGGCGCAGATCAACGCTGGAAAAGAGTACCATGAATCCATTGCGACCCTGGTGGATTTGTTTGAGCGTATGGAAAAAGAGGTTGTACAGAGTCAAGCTGCGGGTGCTGCTGGTGAAGGAGAGAAGAAGGCTCTGGCGGTTGGATTAGGTCTTTGGATCGATGGGAATGATGATATTGGATTGGTGGATGTTATGGTTGGACCGTGTAAGTAGAGTGGAATTCGGTGTTTTTTGTTTTTTTTTTGTTTGCCTTCTCGGAATTAATCTTTATCTGTATAACAGGGCTTTACAGATCCATCAACGTCTTGAAACATTACCGAGGATTCCAACTTCCTCCAGGCCAAAAGTTCAATTTTTGGCTGAACAAGTTATTCGAGCATCCGGATTTCAAGAGGACTTGTAGTACGGATGATTTGTATTTGGATAGTTATGAGAGGTGCGTTTGTCGACTCAATTTTTTTTTGTAACGGCAGCTTACTTTCTTCCCTTGATCAAATTTTGAAAAGATACGCTTTCAATCGCCCGAATACCAGTCAGGTGGCTAATGCTGTGAATTCTGGACGAGGACTGCCTTGATGTTCGGACTGTTGGGTATCTTCAGTGAAATGATAATTGACTATATGTCGCACATGTACTTATACAAGCTGAAGAATTATACTCAGCTTAACTTTCCTGTGACTAGCATTATTTATGAAAGAACTAGCAGTGACCTGTGCGATACTTCTTGATCCAGAAGTGCAAGATCACCGAGAAGCGCAAGATCATACTTAAATCCTTAGCGCTGCCCGCGGCAGCAATGCCCGACTCGAATCAGTAGTCGTCGTGCTCGAAATGGCGCGCTGTAAGCTGAAAGACATAGTCATTACAAGCATCCAGTGCCGGCGACCAACTGGCATGCCAAATCCCTTCTCCACCCCACAAAAATCTTTGTATACCCAGGACACGCGAAGCCGTGATCAACCCTTTAGAGCCGCAATGCCAGTCAACGGTGAATCACAAATCACGTAGCTTATTCCACGTCGGGTAGTCGCTACTCTGTGGTGGAAAGTCTGTGTTTCTTATCAACACCTTCTTTTGCAAGCTTAAGTCGGAGGTAGAGCACAACTGAGTGGGTCGCAGATATAACAATCCCATGGGCTATCGATGGACCGGACAAGATATGTTTCCAGATTGATGGCTGCCTAGTCTCGAAAATGTATATTGATCTTTAGACTACCGCATTCAATTGTTGCCATACAAGGAACATGAAAGGTAGTCTCGACAGAAGCAAACCTAGGATAAGTATATCGTACATGTTAGACAAGATATACACAACGGCATATGTAATGGTTCTGTCCATTACGATTATATAGTGCCTGTACCCGTATTGAGTAACATCGACATTGTAGCCTTTTGGCTCAGTTGATATGCTGTCGGCCCGGATCACTGCAGCATACCTGAAGTTTCTAAAAGCATAATGGATTGCACCCGATACTCAGTTTCTCTCAACACTGCTGCAGCGGGGTTGCTCCGCAAAGGAAAGGAGGCGATGGAATTGTGATATACATCGAGGATGGCCATTACAACTTGAAATAGTACAGACGGTCAAGCCCGACTGCGTAAGTCAGGGAGCAGACCCTTGAAAAGACATGAGAACATTTGAGATAAGATAAACTGTGGAAAAGATCTACCTATTGGGACTAAATTTGGGGAGATAACGATTGTTTGATGCAAATATATCCCTCCCTTCCCTTCGGTTAGGGTGGAGGATTGTTTCCTGTGCTCTCAATTCTGAGCTACTCGCTTCATAAATTTTACTACATTATCCGAGGTTTGTCCGGTCCGATCTGCCAGACTCCCGCCAAATTTCGGCAAGAGGTCGCGAGCGTCTCGCTTGCACTTCTTCGGTCTCGCTGGTGCCCTCTAAAAACTATCTCGCCATTCTAAAAATCTCAAAGTTGGAACAATGAAATTTTAGTGTCTTGGGCACATTCTGACAAAATTTGGAACCCGTTGGATAAGAATTACGAAGTACATACTCCCATTTACATATATGATATCCGAGTATATTTAATCCAACAGGTCAGGTATGGGGTGGCGTAAATCGGATCCCCAGTATCCCTGACATCTCAGCGGCACTCAACAGTCTGTCAAGCCTCATGGTTTCCACAACCACAACCACAACCACAACCACAATGAAAACCGACTCTGGTAAGCCTTTTTGGACTGAGTGTACAGGTGAAGCTTTAGATACGGTTAAGAAGCATGAGAAGGACGAGGATTTGACGCTTTTCGGGTGCTGCTTCAGTCCGTTCGTGCAGCGTGTGTGGGTTGCACTCGAGGTCCTTGAATTTCCGTATAAAGTGCGTATTTGTGTGTTCGTGTTGAAAATAGTACGGTATTGATCTCATCCTGCAGTACTGTGAGGACCATTCCAGATCGGATGATAGCGTTGTATTTCTTACTTACCCTACCGATTACAGGTGAAGTGGATCTAAGAAAGAAACCCAGGGACCCGGATCTACTCGAAATTTCGCCTAACGCTCTTGTCCCGGCACTCAAGTTGAACAATTTTAATCCCCCAAAGGGTCTCAATGAGAGTACAGTCATTTTGGAATACATTAATGAGTATGTTCGATTTTTGCTTTCACTTACAAATGCTGGAGAAGACTTAAAGTGCTGAACTTGATGTTTGCGTTCTTCTATGTTCTTAGTCTGGCAGAAACCACCAAGGGGAAAAGTTTGCTTCCTCCCTTGACGAATCCATGTACGTGTCTTTTACTTAGTTTCTCCAAAGATCAAGACATTAAGTCCTCGTCGTTGCGATTAAAGATGCTCGAGCCCTTGTCCGACTCCAATGCGACCATATCAGCCGCTCAATTGTGCCTGCTTTCTACCGGTACCTCCTAGCGCAAGATCAAGAGATTCAGATCAGCTGTGGGAAAGAGTATTACGAATCCATCGTGACTTTGATGGCTTTGTTTGAACGCATGGAGAAAGAAGTTGTACAGTGTCAGGTTGCGGGTGTTGACGGTGAAGGGAAGAGGAACGCTCTGGCAGTTGGATTGGGTCTTTGGATTGATGAGAATGAGGATATTGGATTGGCGGATGTCATGGTGGGACCGTGTAAGTGCAATGAAGCTCATTTTTCGTTTCTTTTTTTGTTTTCCCCTCATGATTAATCTTACTCTGTATGACAGGGCTTTTCAGATCCAACGTTTTGAAGCATTACCGCGGATTCGAACTTCCTCCAAGCCAAAAGCTTAATAATTGGCTGCATAAGTTGTTCAACCATCCTGATTTCAAGAGGACTTGTAGTACGGATGAATTGTATTTCGATAGTTACGAGAGGTGCGTCACAGTCCGTCAACCGAATGTTTGCACATGCAGCTTACTTTCCTCCCGAATTGGTTAAATTTCGAAAAGATACGCTTTCAATCGCGCGCATGCAAGTAAACTCGCCAAAGCATTGAATTCTGGCCGGGAAATGCCTTGACGTGGCTGATGGATATCTTCAGTGACTTGATAAACTCTGTGATTTATACAAGCTAAATAATTCTATTTAACATAACTTTGTAGTCAACGACGCCATATTATTCATTCATCGCTCGAGATGCTGAGCTCTGTCGCTTTAATAATTGCCGCGTGTATATAAGGATGCTCAGTAGCAATACAGTAATGAACTATCTTGACGGTGCCATCGTATCTAGATTCATGACATGGCATACGAAGATGCTTCGAGCTCCTCAATTTCTGTCACAGTAAATAAACCACCCTCGCCAATCGTGGAAGTTTGTGGTACCCTTGGTGCTTGGGGAACAGCTTCAGAAGCGGTACTCTGAGATGTATCCCGTTCTGAATTCCTGGTAAACACTAACAAGCGCAGGACGCACCTGGGTCACATTGTTGGTAGTGGTAGCGAGTGATTCCTGATGCAGTTTCCTACGTAGGCCTTTCCTAGAATTTAGAATCTACGAAAAAAGGAAAATTAAAAATGC